TGGAGTCCAGAGGAGCACAGGTGAGATGTGCTTTATGGGTGCCTTCTTCAGGCACCCTCCGGCTGGGCCAGTGCAGCCTGCAGAGTGTCCCATCACAAGACACTGCAAGTCCAATCACAGACACTGATTGCCACCAGCTCTTTATATTTTCATTGTGGTTAAAATATAAATCAAATAAAGCCCAGAGCTTTTATTATGTTGCAAACTAATAACTAGTTTTGGGGGTTTTTTTAGTCCCCCTTCAAGCGACAAATACACAGCCTTGGATTATTATTTTTTTAATGTAGGATTTTGGGTACAGTGATGAAATAGAAGGAAGTAATTGTGTTTAAACATAAGGTAGTTTGTGAATGTATTTTTTAAAATCTTAGAATAATTTGAAACAAAAAATCATGAGAAACCAGTATTACCACAGTGTTGTGTACGGTGTGTGTGTGTGTATGGAGATACCACAGAGCAAAGGTTTTTCTGGTGCCAACCACAATAAAACACAAAAAACTTCACCATTAAACCATGCCTTTTATGTTTGGGTAAATAAAACCTGGAGTGTTGGAGGACATGGAGGTAAAGGGGATTTTCAGGGTTCCCAGTCCCTATGCTCTTTGCCTGGAGACTCTCAGGAGAGCAGCATTCTGGTGCAGGATGAGTGCAGGGAGATGGGACCTGTGCCCTGTGCTGCTGCCCAGCACTCAGCAGTGGCCAAGGGATGTTTTGACAGACCACTACCACCTGAAAACTTGGGTTCTTCTACAAAATCAACCCATGATTACTATAATGACCTGCTTTCTCCTTCAGATATTCCTAGCTTTGATTTTATTGTCTTTTGCTTTAAGTAAAATACACTTGTGGTTGATCAGTGCTCTCAGAAACTACTTAGTGTTTAAAGAAATAACATCTGGGCCTCCTTTTGAAACTGTTTCTGGGAGTTTTTACCTGGGAAAGGAAATTTATTTGTTCAGCTGGGCAGTGCTGCAGGACGAAAAAGCAGTAATGTCTGTGCATGCAGGAGTCACCTGAGCCTCTTGCAGATTCAGTTATTTACAAAGTTGCTGTGAAATGTTGCATGAACTTCAGGGATGAGTCCTGGCAAATGGAATAAAAGCCTCGAGAGCTGACACGAGGCTGTGTGAGGCCCCTGGTGACCCCCAGCACCCCACGGAGGTGCTGGGTACCCCTCCCAGGTGAAGGATGCTCAGAGGTAAGGCTGTAGCTACTCGTGGGAACTGCATGTTTTCAAACCTGTTTCAGAATTATTATCAAATGGGATTTTTTTCTTGTTGCGAGATGGTTTGGAGGTTGATAGTGCGTATTTTGTGACATCTTTGTGACAGAAGGGGGTTGCTCAAGGTGACCCTGGCCCCAGAGCTGGGCTGGTTGCTGGAAATGGTTGAAGTAGCTGTGCTGCAGTTCCTTGGCTCCACGTTGAGCCCATGTAAGGTCCTTTCCTGCTCAGACAATGATTTGATGCTGCATAACTGGGGACAGTGTGAGCATCGTGTCGGCCGGCAGTGACTGGACCTGCCTGTTCCCAAAGGTGTGGGGTGGACCTCCATTCCATACCCTGCCTGTGTCCAGGATAAGCCACCCACCAGGGCACAGCTCCTCAGAGGAGATCCAGCAGAGATGTTCTCAGCAGTAAGGATGTGGTTCCAGGTGTAGGATGCCTGTCACAACCACCGCTGCCCTGCAATATCCGTGTCCTGCCCTGTGTTCCCTGCAGAGCTGCCACTTCCCACTTCCCACCCAGGCTGTCATGACCTGCTGCAGAACAGCTTTGCTGGGTTCGTCTCCCAGTTTTTCTGTTCTGGGTGATGCTGCATCACCCAGAGCTGGGAGGTGGGAGAGGGCCCATTAACCTCCCCTGTTTTAATACCACCTGATTTTGCTGGGAGGGTACAAGGCCACCACTCCGGTATCTTTACAGCGGTGCTGTAAATGCACCAAATTCTCTCTCCTAAATGTGTACTATCAGCCTGTAAGTGGCCCCAGCACCAGTGCCTGCCCTGGATGCTGTCCTTAAAGAGAGGAAAAATGGATGTGTATCATCATCTTTCTGTGCCAGCTGATGTCCTGCATCAGTCTGCTCTTACCTGGAGAGCCAGAGATTTATGGACTCGATCTTCCTTTTCTTCTTTCTGGTTTTGTTTCAGTTAATGGCATATTTTTACTTTTTTTTAACATCAAAGCTACCTCTGAGTGACCCAGAGGCAGTAAAATAGGTGTGCAAATTACCCTGGCCACAGAGAAAGCCTCACTGTCCTGCAGTCTTTAAATTCCTTCCACTGAGGTGACAAGCATGTTCAGCTGCTCAAAAGCAAAGCCCAACCATAAACTTTAGCCCACTGCTTTTATCACAGAGCATTAGATTATCAGCAACACCAGTTACAGTGGACACAACACAGAGTAGGCAATAAGCTGGCAAATCTGCCTAACCAGTATTATACACAGTTCTTACACTTTATTATTTAAGTAAAGCATCAGCAATAATGCAGGCACTGTTGTTTGCCCATCACTGAACCACTGCCTGGCCAGGCTCACCAGCCATGGGACACGTTGGTGTTGCTCTGAGCTGTGCTGTGCTGCTCTCTGCACCCTCAGGGCTCAACCTGTGTGGTCACAGGTGACCTTGTGACCTTGTGTGGTCACAACCGACTGTCAGACATGTAAGAGATTTGCTGGGCTGGTCATTCATCCTGGTGGAGCCTGGCCCGGTGCTCTATCCTGTAGGAATGTTGTTGTTCTGTTTTCCAAGCTATCAGTCAGCCCCTTTGGGAAGTGACCACTGTGGGAGGCAGATTTACACACAGCCCTTTTCCACCTGTGAGCCTCAGGATGAGCCTCGAGCTAATCAGCACATCCACATCCAGCCCCTTGTTCAGAAAAACACAGGGTCTGGAGTCCTGGTGCCACTGGGAGCTAAATATGTCCTTGAATTGCCCAGAGCCAGGCTGTGGAACAGTGTGGCACAGCCCAGCTGGCATCAGCTCACAGGGAGAGGTGGCACCAGCTCAGAGCATCCAGCCTGGGGGGTGCTGTAAGAGGGGATGGGAGAACCCCAGGATAACTTCATCCCTTTTGCCAGCAGATCTGGTCGAGGGATACATGTGGCTGTGGGGCTTCCAGCCTTTGGCATCCAAAGTTCCCATGGAAGTTGCCAGGCCACTGCTGGAGAGATGTCTGATGCTCACCCACACCATCTCCCCCCCCCCCCCCTTCCCGCTGCCCCAGCTGCTCCACACCCTCCCCCTGGGAAGTGGAATTACAGGAGGATTCAGCTGTGGAAGCAGCAGCAGAGAAGACACGGAAAGACCACCCTGCTCTCTCATTTCAGTACGTGGATGCCCTTTCACCCCTCTAACTCTGGTAGGCTGGGAAAAGTAGAGGGGGGAAGTAACACCCCCCCTTGGCCAGGCACCTGCGATAGGATGGGGATCCCAGACGGGTACATGGGGATCCTGGAGGGGAACACCAGTCCTGGCCAGAGATTTCACAGTGCCCAAGGGTTTCCGTTTGGGATCTTGGGTCAGGGCTCTCTTTTGTTTTCTGATACAAGCTTGTTAAAAAGCCTGTTAATTGTCAAATCCTGACAGCCCCATTGTGGAGGCATTTAACTGCAGTGCAAAGAAATGGTGCTTGTAAATGCCTGAGTATCCACACACAGCAAGCAAACAAACACCATGGGCAAAGATCTGAGCTGGAAGGACAAATATTGGGGAAAACTAAAAAGCTCAGCCTCGGGCCCTTCCCCTCACAGCTACACCAGCCCAAGAGGGGAATGCAGGTGCTGAGACTGGAATCAACACCTGCTTAATGCAATGAACTTTTCTCCTCCAGTTAAAGTTTTACTTTACTGGAGGAGCCCAGTGCAAAGATTAGTGGTCTTACACTCATCTTTGTTTTTTTATCTCTTGCTCTTCCTCTGTAGAGAGTACATTTTGTGCCTGTGTGAAGCCTGGATGGCTGAGAGCATCATCCAATGAGTCGCTGTAACTTAGCTGCTGGACCCATCAGGGGCTGGTCTGGAAGGTAATGGTTTTAATCAGCATTAATCACCTCCAGTCTGACTCAGACTTTGGCACGTCCCTACGGATGCCACCGTCCGCCCAGCCCTGCAGCTCCTCTCACTGACCATGTCAAGGACAGCACAGCCTGAGCCAGAGTGAGACCAGCTCAGACCAGCTTGTGCAGATGTGCAAAGTTCATGAAAACCAAGCCAAAGATATTTGGCAGCAGCGGGAGTATTTGCAGCATTGGCCATAGTTCACAGAACCAGTGATATTTGACAGTGCAGGGATCAGCTGGTGGTGCTGAAAGGCTCAGTGTTCACGCTGCTGTGGGGTTTTTTAATGAAAACCTCTGCTATGGTAATATTCTGGGTAATTTTGCTGTGTTGTTCACATGCACATTCAGATGTCTCCTCTGACCACTCAGGCTGCACGTACAGGTGTGTACTGGCATTACAGCTGGGTGCTGAGGGGCTCTGGGTGTGCAGGTGTCTATGTATGGATACACAGAGAGGCCTCTATACATCTGTGTTTATATATGTTTGGCTGTGTATGTGATACACACACATAAATATATTTTAAAGCAGGTGCTAAGTGCTGTCTAAATAAAACACTTAGTCATTTTCTATCTGCTTTGCTAACATATGCTGGAGAGGTTTCTTCTCCCTAATTCAGAAAGGGGTTTGTGATGTGGCACATACACCAGCACAGAAGCCGAGGAAAGTGTTGAGCATCTCAAAACAGGCTGTAGCGTGTTCCCAAGTCCCTGGCATGTCACATTCCCGGCTGTTAAACCAAGGGACAGCCCCAAACCAGCCCTGCAGCTGGATCATTTGAATTTCCCAGGTCCACTCTATGCCTTTGTGGGTCTCCTGTTGTTTCGTGCCTGTCCCCAGACACGGGGATTGGTGGCGGCTGCCCTGAGCCGAGCAGTGGCCAAGTAACACATGGAAGGCTTGGGTTTCTCATTAACTCCAGAGCTCATATAGACCCATCTCTCGGAGCATCAGCCACTTTTCCTGCCTCCCTCCCAGCCCGGCTGTCCCTCCTTCCCTGCCCAAGCCCTCACCTCACTCCACAGCCCAGGACAGGGACCATTCCTGGGAGGACAGTGGAGGAGCTGCAGGATGGAAGAGAAAAGCAAAATGCAGACAGAGAAGGTAACCATGGCTCACTGGTATTTTTGCACTGGGATTTCTGCAGGAGCCCAGCACTGAGCAATTCCGTGCTAAGACCAAAACCAACCCAAAAAGAAAATCCCCTCCCTTAATTAATTGCTCTCTCATGTCTGTGTACTGAGCACAGGGGCAAAGGGGTCAGGGGGTTGTTTTTTATTTTTAAGAGCTCTGTTGGCTCATTGGATAACTTTAACTGTGATGGAAGGAAACAATGCTTGAAACAGCACTGCTGAAAACCACAGTTTTGGTGACTTTTTTCCCAGCTGCTGTGCTCCAGGGATGGGGATGAGGATGGGGATGGGACAGGGCACACTGCTGCTGCCTGTGCTGCTTTACCAGGCAGAGCTCTGGCTCCTGTGAGCTCCAGAGCCAGGATGGGCAGTGCAGCAGGGAGAGCTGGACTGCTCATTGTGGGGCAACAGCACTCTGCCCTTGGGGCCTTGATCTTGCCTGTCTCCAGGGGCTTTCCCTCTCCTTTGAAGCCAAACCACCTGTGCTTCTGCAGCAGCATCCCTGGATGCTGTGGTCCTGGCCAGCTGGGCACCAGAGTCCCCTGGGACAGGGATGGGGTGCAGCCCCCAAGATTTGGGCAGGGTTAGGACAACAGGGTGAGGCTGTTCTCTGCTTCCTCCGCCAGCACCTCACGGGAACGCTGGTCCTCTCTGTCTTCACTGCAGTGTTGGGCTTCTTCCAGTTCGGCTACAGCCTGGGTGTCATTAATGCCCCCCAGAAGGTAAGCTGAGCCCCCCAGGCCATGCACAGCCAAGGGACAAGGCTTCAGGGCCCGTCTGTCCCTTCCCTGTCCCTTTCCTAGGCGCTTTCTCCCACAGCACAAAGGCAGTGGGGTGAGAACACGGCCAGGACCCCCCCTCTGCCACTTCCCCAGGGAAAGGAGCAGGGCTCTGCAGTTGTGGAGCCATCCCCACTGCAACACAGTCCCTGTGCCCAGGCAGAGGGACTGCAGCTTTCTGCTGGTGCTGACACCACGCTCACCTCAGCCCAGGGAGGAGGGGATGCTCTGTGCCTGCCCATGTGGCCCCTCCTCGCTGGTCCCTGGGTGCTGGGGAGCTGGGGGTGACCCATGATTTCATTCCTGCAGACCCTCCTTTGAAAAGATTTTCCTGGGGCAGAAAAAACCCCCAAAACAGCTCTTGGGGTGGTTGTACATTTGAGCTGATGGAGTTTTCCCTCTTCGCCTGTCCCAGGTGATAGAGGCACACTACGGGCGCGTGCTGGGCATCATCCCCCTGGATGGACACGCCACCAACACCTCCGGGGAGGATGGCACAAACCCCCAGGCTGGCACCAAGGGCACACTCGCACCCCTGGCTGACACCAGCGAGGACCTGGCCACCTCCTCACACATCCTCACCATGTACTGGTCCCTCTCTGTCTCCGTGTTTGCCGTCGGTGGCATGGTCTCCTCCTTCACCGTGGGCTGGATCGGCGACCGGCTCGGCAGGTGAGAACTCCATGTGTGCTGTGACTCTGTCCCACAGCCCCAGACTTTCTGTTCCCTCTCTGTAGAAATACAATTTCTAGTATTGTCCCCAATTTAGGAAAAAAAGGGGAAAAAAACCAACTTCCAACTTCCAAAATACTGTTCCAACCATCATAGAGGTCGGGCTTATTAAAATCCTCAATTATAAATCAGGTGTTTTATTGCAACTTTAGCACTTCAGACAGCAGCTGATGAGCAGCCTTGATTAACTTCTGAATTCCCCCTTTTCTTTTCATGGCAAATGGGAGAGAAGGGCATCTGAACAGTGTTTGCACAGGATGTAAAATGTAATTTACAATATAATTTTAACTACTCTGATTGCACCCGGGCGCTATATTCTGCAGTGCCTACAATCATTATTTTTCCCTCTGTAGTGCTGATTATGTCAGTTAATAGCTCCACTTGCATGTCTCGACGGCTGCTTTGGCTGAGCGAGGTGCCAGAAGGAGCTGTGGTGCTACTGCCTTGCAGGGTGAAAGCCATGCTGGTGGTGAATGTCCTCTCCATCGCCGGGAACCTCCTCATGGGGCTGGCGAAATTTGGGCCGTCTCACATCCTCATCATCGCTGGGAGAGCAGTCACAGGGCTGTACTGCGGTGAGTCCAGCCTGGGTCAGGCAGGGTGCCGGGTGCTCCAAGGCTCCTGTTCAGGGTTTCCTATATTTTTTAATCTTTTTTTAATCAGAAGGAGTTTCACAGGTGGGAGTTTTCTTCTTCTTCCTCTGTCTGTCCTTCTTGATCCAGGATCTTTCCCAGAAGTATCTGGGTTGGCTCTGTCAGGAAACTGGTTTGTTTTACGTATGCTAGAAAGGAGCAAGCCCCTCTTTATCTCAAGGCTGGATCTTGCTGGTGGCTGCTGTAACAGCACATCATTAGCCAGGCTGGTTAACAGGTTCTCTAGAAGCAGTGCTGTCTAGCAGAGAGCACAGGAGCATTGTACAAGGAGAGGATACAACAGTCAGCAAATAATATGGAATTACATTAGAATTACCTTAGAAATAATGGCTCGTTACCCCTGTAACTGGTATGCAAATACAATACTCTGCTCTGAGGTTTCAAGGCAAGTTTTAAGCAAGCTCTTTGCCCTGTGATACCTCCTCCCAGTGGACAATCTCTGCTCTGTGCTCTTATGTGTGTGTTTAAGTAAAAGGCTTCACAGTTTGGGGCTCTGAGATATCCTATGCAGGGATATCCCAGCACCTTTCCAAGGTGCAGGTGGTTCCCAGCCAGGCACGAGGGCTTTGGTGGGGTGTGGGTTGCAGCACACAGGCTCCATCCTCCTTTCCCTTTGGGGAGTGGTTTCTGGTAGTTTCTGAGCTGTGGTCTAGAGGAGGTGACACCTGAGTGTGTTCCATGCAGGGCTCTCCTCCGGACTCGTGCCCATGTACGTCAGCGAGGTCTCTCCCACGGCCCTTCGGGGAGCGCTGGGGACGCTGCACCAGCTCGCCATTGTCACAGGGATCCTCATCAGCCAGGTAAGAAGGAAAGCTCACATGTCCAGAGAGGGTGGTTTGGAGATTAGGGAGACCCCAATGATACGCTGGGGTGTCACAGACCATTCCACCCCAAAACTAAAGGAGTGCACAAAGCAATCTGCTCTAATGGGGTTAAACTCATGCCTTGAGTCGGAGGTGTCTTAACAAAGATGACATCTCAAGAAATAAAAAATGCTTCTGCAATTTCTCCTTTCCCTGAGGAATTATTTTCAGTATCTAATCAGCATCAGGCTGAGCACAAGACCCCTAATAATCAGGTTCTCAAAAATGGCTTCATCAGAGAAGCAGGAAGCCCAAAGTCCCAGTCAGCTTTTCCCTACCATGGCAGGAGTTCCAGCTATGCAACAGGTGGGCACATAAATGTACCAAGAACAAATACATCCAGAAAAAGAATTGGTATTTGCTTCTAGTTTACTTCCAGGTTGTCACTTCAAAATGCCAAAGTGATAAATCACTTTCTTTTCTTAGGCTGTAAAACAATCCATTCAAACATGCCTCAATTATTCCAGGTCCTTGGACTAGACTTTCTCCTGGGCAACGATGAGATGTGGCCCCTGCTCCTCGGTCTGTCTGGTGTGGCTGCCCTGCTGCAGTTCTTCCTGCTCCTGCTGTGCCCCGAGAGCCCCCGATACCTTTACATCAAACTGGGGAAGGTGGAGGAAGCTAAAAGAAGTAAGACACATTCTGGGCTTGTCTAGAATTGTTTTTATACTGTACATAGTGTTAAACACAGAAGGAAAAAGGCTGAGGATTCACATATAACTGTGTGGTTGCTCCACTCCACCCTCTGAGCTGCTGAGGTACAAATCAGATCTGGACCAAAAACTGTTGAGATGTTTGCATGGGACTAAGCAGCATTGCTGAGAGATGAAGCTGGAGCATAGTGTCTGAGGGCTGTTGCAGGACTGATATGCTGCTGCCCCTGGCCAAGCAGACACACTTTGGATCCTTGATGTGCCATGGGAATCCTCAGAGCAAGAGGACGTGGCTGTCCATGTGGTTGGCCTACCCTGAGTTCTAGCTAGAGAGATTCTTGTCCTTATCTGTGCCTTATCTGAAGATAAAATGTCAATCTTTCTTTTTTTTTTTCATAAGATTTGAAAAGGCTTAGAGGAAACTGTGACCCGATGAAAGAGATTGCAGAGATGGAAAAAGAAAAGCAAGAAGCTGCTAGTGAAAAGAAAGTCTCCATAAGACAGCTTTTCACCTCTTCCAGGTACAGGCAGGCTGTCATCGTGGCACTGATGGTGCAAATATCCCAGCAGTTCTCAGGAATCAATGCGGTGAGTCTCCCCAAAATGTTTGTCTTTAAAGAAATCCACGCTGAGCATGAAAAGGCAGCTCTGGCTCCATCCGAGCCATGCAGGGGGGAAAGGTGGCTTTCCCATGGCTGCAGTGGGCTCCTCAGCCACCAGCGTCAGTGCTGATGGTGGATCTCACTGCCACGCTGGCTGTGGGAGGGCAGGAGGGGCGAAGGGTGTGAGGGAGTTCAGCACAAAGCTAGCTGGCACAGCGGGTCCATGCTGAGCTCTCCCATGACCCTCCACCTAACCGAGTTCATCAGCAGTTTTCTCTCTTTAATGACTATGTGCTCACCCCAGGAACCACAGAATCACTGTTTTCTAGATATTTGTAACTAAACAGTTTTTTGCATCACCTCTTGGGGATACCAGAAATCACCATTTTGCACCCAGAAGCATAGAGCCTCCTTTTCAAAATCTGCTAAAAATCATATTTTTGAAAGTCTGGTGAAACTTGAGGCCTCTGTTCCACCAGCTTTCAAAACTCTGGGAGCATTTCTGCATCCCAAGGCAGAGTGGCAATGCAGGGGTGCCCAGCCTTGTGGGGATGAACTGGGATGAGGATGTCACAGAGCCCAACTGAGGGTCAGCACCCATTTACCTACTGCCTTTAACTTTTACCAGAAAAGAATCACCTTATTCTTGGAGAGAAGGAAGAAATGGGAGTCGTTTCAATGCAGTGAGAATATTTTAAAATTCACGTACAACTCAGTCATATTAAGATATTTTTCTTCATTGCTCAGTGCTGGATTTCAAGATTAAACATGGACTACATGGAAGAAAACAGTTTTAATGTGCAAATGCAGTAGCTCAGGAGGGGAATTTCAACAGGATTTTTAACTCCCTCCGGCTCCTTTGAAATTTTCAGCTTTAATTACTATAACAAGCTATTAAAAGTTGAAAAATTAATCATAATTAAATTGCTTCACATCTCAGCCAAGCAAGTGCAACTTTTCTCTCAAGAGAACAAAAAGTTCCACCAGCCCTGTTGCCTAATCTTTCATCTTGATGTATTTTGATAGATCTTTTACTATTCTACAAACATTTTCGAGAGAGCTGGAGTTGACCAACCAGTTTACGCAACCATCGGTGTCGGAGTGGTGAACACAGTCTTCACTGTTATCTCTGTAAGTAAATACTTCTGCCACACAGACTACAAAGACACGTAAGCTACAATGTGGCTTTGAGACATGATTTTATCCTGGAGCTTAGACTGGGATTTGCAGTTTTCAGGGCTGACCTTGAACACCTTACAGGGAAAAATCATTCCCTGGGCAAGTTTCTTTTGAAAATTTAAGCCTTGACACAGAGCCTGACATCAGCACTGCTGAAATGCCTTATGAGTGGAAAATACATCACTGTGCTCTGGGAAGCTCTGGTAACTCAGCAATTTCCCCAAAACAAAAGGGGCTGTGATGGGGGAGCAAGCAGCTCACAGTCTCCTTTACCTGTTATCTTTCAAACTGTTTTGTGTATGTACATAGCACCTGCACGAGTGATATCCAAAGGCTATTCCACGGTAATGCAGTAATCCAGCACCTATCCTCATCCTACCTAGGCAGTGCTCTGCAGCAATAAAAGGATGGGTTTGTTTCCACAGACTTTCCCTTCGTTTGTCTCTCTCCTGAGAGGATTAACACAATTTCTATCAGCAGGCAATTAGTTTTTTAATGTGGCCATTAATATAAGATCAGGAAATGCCAAGCCCATTTCCCTGACACCTCTCAAGAGACTTAGGGAGAAAAGGACTTTTACCTCCAACAAAGCAGGACTGGCTGAAAGGGAGAAATATACAGCTCCAAGAGATTTAAGACAAGGGGGAATCACTTTAAACTGGTAGAGGGCAGGTTTAGATTAGATATTAGAAAGAAATAGACTGTGAGGGTGGTGAGGCACTGGAACAGGTTGCCTGGAGAAGCTGTGGATGCCTCATCCGTGAAGCGTTCAAGGCCAGGTTGGAAAAGGCTTGGAGCAACCTGGGATAGTGGAAGGTGTCCCTGCCCATGGCAGGGGTGTTGGAACAATACGGTATTTAAGGGTCCCTTCCAACACAAACCATTCTTACTCCAGCATGTATGAGATAGGAGGTCTTGAGATGAACTTTCTTTAGAGGAAGTCCATCACAGGCCCCATAGTGAGGAGAAAATGTGATCTTTACTGTGAAATGGAATTAGGAGGTTTGCAGCTGGAAGAAGCCTTTCTCCAGCACAGAGGGTCTCCTGCAGTTCCATCCCCACTCTGAGGCTCTGGTACTCGCAGCCTGGGGCATTTGCTCTTTGCTTCTTTTGGCCATGAGAACTTAAAAATTAGCTGCCTTTGTCAATAAATGACAGACCCTGATCAAAAGGCAGAAGTGCTGACAGCGGGTGGACCTTGGCAGGGGGAGAAGGGAACGCAGAGGCTCGTTCTCTGCAACTTCCCGAGTCAGCAGGATGCACTGCCTCCAGTAAAGGAGACGGTCTCCTAGAAGCATAAATCAGGGCTGTAATGGCAGGAAAGGTTGAGCTGCCAGCCAGAGGTGTCCTTCAGAGCAGAAGGGAAGGACTGGGCAGCCTCAGAGGCTCATGCACAGTTAGGCCAGGCCATCTGCACTGTCCTCTGGAGGTACCTACACCTTCCCACTGAGTGAGGTGTCTGGTACAGACTTACAAAAGCTGTGTGAGATGACTGGAGTCCACCAAGAGGAGCTGATAAGGAGAAAACTAAGACTTGTGGATGCCAGGGAAACAAAAGGAGTCTGAGAGCAATTGGAGGAAAAATCCTGCTATACAACTATATCCCTGCCCTGGGACAGGCAAGGTGCAATGGTGTGACCTGAATCATGCTACATTTTGAAGGCCAATTTCAAACTAATGCAGAGCTAGTGAGTTTTTTCTTCTTGGGAAAAAAAAAAAAAAAACAACCCAGAAAAAGAGAGAGAGGAAAAGTTCATAGTCAGCAATACATGTGTAGGAGAAGTGAGAAGTCCTGAGAGCTTGGAAACTCATGAGTTCTGAGTGTATGTGGCTTTGCCTTCCCCTTGGCAAGGTGACTGCTCAGTCTGGCTCCCTAAGAGCCACTGGCAGAGTTTTTGACACTTGGAAACTAGCACATAAATCCCTATCACAAGAGCTAGAAGAGCAGGAGGGCAGTGTGGCAGTGGTAACAGGTTGGTTATTGCTAATGGACCTGATCCTGAGAGCAGCAGTGCTGGAGACTGAGCTGCTGCATGTGTTTCTACAGGTCTTTCTGGTGGAGAAGGCGGGCAGGCGGTCCCTGTTCCTGGCTGGATTGATGGGCATGTTAATAAGTGCCGTGGCCATGACAGTTGGACTTGCGCTTCTGGTAAGGATTTCTCTCCATTTTTAATCCCTTGTTTGCAAGCAAGAGAAGACGCCATCAAAGTCAGTCCAAACCACTGGAGCAAGCCCCTGTTGGGTTATAAAACCAAATAAGGGGTGACCTCCTCTACTGAACACCCTAGTTATTAATGACAGAACCATTCTCTGTTGTCCTGGCCGTGCTGCAGGCACGGAGAAGGCTCAAAGGAACAGCTGAGCTGATGGTTGTGAACTCCTGCAAGCAGCAACGCTGGCAACACACGCCCAGCCAGCACCTGGCACAAGAGTTGAGAGCCTTAATTATTCATGTCCAGTCCCCACTTGTCTGAATGGAAAGAAATTTCTGAAAAAGAAGCTTAATTAAAGTAATTGGTGATAGTTAATGAGAGTTGTGTTGGGACTATAACACCAACCTTTTGCAGAGCCAGTTTGCCTGGATGAGCTATGTCAGCATGGTTGCGATCTTCCTCTTCGTCATCTTCTTTGAAGTCGGGCCTGGGCCCATCCCCTGGTTTATTGTGGCCGAGCTGTTCAGCCAAGGCCCACGTCCTGCCGCCATCGCTGTCGCCGGCTTCTGCAACTGGGCCTGCAACTTCATCGTGGGAATGTGCTTCCAGTACATAGCGGTAAGAAACTCCTCAAACCATACAAATAAATGGCTGGCGTGACCCCGCTGCTGGCTCCCAGAGGGATGGGGATGTGCCTCCCAGATCTCCATCCCCAAGCCCTGCTGGGCACCTCAGTCCCCCAGGGTAGGAAGGGGAAGCCATCCCCGCAGTGCTCATGGTGGTATCCCCCTGTTCCCACTTGCCCCACTGCAGGATCTGTGTGGACCGTACGTGTTTGCAATCTTCGCAGCCCTGCTCCTACTCTTCTTTCTGTTTGCCTACTTCAAAGTCCCAGAGACAAAAGGGAAGTCCTTTGAGGAGATCGCAGCTGTGTTCCGCCGCAAGAAGCTCTCGGCCAAAGCCATGACTGAGCTGCAGGACCTGCGAGCCACTGAGGAGGCATAACCATCCCACCCACCCAGAAAGGAGGGACTGGGCATGGACCTCCTTCAGGCACTGTGGGCAAAAGTCTCATTTCACAAAAACCTTGCAGCTGGCAGACCAGGAGGACCCATCCACCGCATTCCTTCTGGCTGCTGCGGTTCACACCTCCCAGGTGCTAACCTGGCATTTTGGTCTGAGACACTTGGTACAACTGTACTGCAGGAAGAGCCAGGGAAAGGACGGGAGGAGTACGTTATCTGTGTGTCTCCATGTCCCTCTGTAAGACCCCAGCAGGACGGTGATGTTACCACATGGCCAAGCAGGGCCATGGCGCAGCTGGAGTGAAGGAAAGGGGGGGTCGGCTGATGCTGCAGCCTCACATTTTCACCTTTTTGTCCCATGCTTGCTGCTTCCTTCTCGTGACTTGGTGCCTTGAGAAGCCAACTGCTAGTGCAGTTGTGCCTCCAGCACACAGTACTGATTGCATGGGGTACCAAGGAAAACAGGTCAGGCAAACTCCCCCTTACTCATGCCTGTGCAGAGGAAAAAGGTGGATCCCACTTGAACCTCACTTGCTTTGCTGTCTGTGCATTATGGAAATGCTGTCCGATCTCATAAGGATTTCCAATCACAAAATTTTTTAGGAGAATCTTAGAAACTGTGGCTGGGCTGATGGGCATTTTTTTCCTTATGTTTCAGCCAAACTATTTAGCACCCTCTTTCCTCCTAGGAAGCCTCTTCTCCCTCCCTTCTCCCTGCTGCAGCACAAGACAAGCACAATACTGACCACACAAGGGGCCTGGGCGCTCCTGACCCCAGGATGAGGAGACCCAAGTCCTGCTGCCATCCCTCCCATGGTGTGACTACTGCCAGGTCACCTCCTTCCCCATCCTCTGAGCTTGCCTTCCCTTCCTTTTGTACAATGCTCAGACCCACAGGCTCCAGCCTGAGTCAAGGACTTGGGCTGCCCATACTGTAACAATAGATGATGACCCAAAGAGGGAATGGGTACTGGAGGGTTAACTGGAAGGTGCCCACTGATGGGACCCCCACTTTGCACCACTTAGGATTTTGCTGGCTGGATGTGCTGCAGCCAAGAAGTGCAAGCAGGAGGTCATGCTGTTTCCATAGCCTTGTTTGTGCTCCTTTTGCTTCTTTGTGAGACATTTTTATGTGACAGAATCAAACTCCATGGATTTTTCTTCCTTTTTTGGGGGCATATCTTGGAACCACTGTAAAAGCCTCCTCTCTGTTTGCTTGACTTTTAAGATTTGCATGTTCTTTGTTGTGATACCAGGTTACTTTCTAGCAACTTTCTCAGGATAGAAACCCATTATTTATTTAGAGATGAAACACTAGCATTGCTGGGTTGCTGTGAGCTCACCACGCTGATGGTGAAGCAGTGGCCAAAATGTAACAGAGGATCAAGCATAATGAAAAGCACAGAACAGATGGGCCAAGGAGGATCATGCTGCTGCTGTGGGTTTGGTTTTAGGGAATGTTCATGCTCCTTTCCATGTGCCTGAACGTTTTTCCTTTGTAGACTTTACTTTCTTGGTATTACGACTCTAAAGCAGATTCTAGTCCCTTCCAAGTGACTGGAAGTGCAGCCATGAGGTCCTTTGGGAGAAGTGTCTGGCCCCAGTGTGTGCACTGAAGCAGTAAGATTGCACCAAAGGCTTTCCCGGAGTGACTGCTGGGATTTAACTAGAGAAGAACTGGGTCAGTGCTGTCATGTGCTACAGCAGTGGGGATTCCAGGTCTGACATGGGGTATGCAGGGATCTGGGAACCAGGGCCCAGGCTAGGGTGAAGAAGAGAGCAGCAGAGCTGGGGCACAGATCTGAGTGGAACCCTCTGTCCGTGTGCTGCAAACAGGTCCTCCCAGGTGAGACCAGCTGCCACAGCAGGCTCAGAAACTCTCCACATTGTTTACTACAGGTAGTTAAATATTATAACTGATTGTCTGAATGTAAAAGGGGGGGGGGGGGGAAGAGATGGGTTCTTGCTTTCAGTAATGTTATCTATGTCTGTTAGATAAAAGTGACAGTGAACATCATCTATGGTGTGTGTTGGCCTGTGCTGTTGTTTTTTCCTTCTGTACATCTCAGACATGTGTCCAGTGCCAGACAGGACCTATTTTCCTGGCAGGACACATCTGCTCCATGAGTGGTAAATGCTGTGCAAGCCCTCAGCCAAACCCCCTTAAATGGATGGTACAGAGGTGAGACTGGGGTTAAAGGCAGACCTGGAGCCGGTGTGAGCTGGCTCTGTGTTGGGATCAACCCTCACTGAAGGTGTGCTGGTGTCTGGCCCCAGCTGTCCCCACTCCCACTTCACCCTGCCGTGAAGCACCTCTGCTTCATGGTGCTTAAAACTTGGTGCTGGGGCCTCTCTGGGCACAACTGTCAGAAGGAGCATTTGGGGAGAGGGCTCTGAGGGAGGACCCAGCTAGGCTGGGTTCCCAGTCATCATACAGGTGGCCCAAAACTATTTTGCTAAACTTCTGCTAATCTTTGTCCTAATGCCTGCAGGGCACCAGTGACTGCCAGCAACTCAGCAGTGAAGTGCCATTTATTGAGCAACACTGAGCAGCCAGTTCTTGTTTTCTCATGTCACTGGTGAATGAGAATAGAAGGCCTGATTCAATTACTGTACTGCAGCACATAAATTAGTTTAACAAAGCCCTGCAACATTAACATTACCCATAGCTATATCCCGAACTTCCCGGAAGATCTGCCTGAGGGTTCAGAAACACTTAAGGAAAATAGAGTTTCAGGTTGTGCTTCCTTGCAGCAGATGCTGTGTGGAAGGGAAGGGAGTCTTCTCCTTCCAGCCTGGGACAGGATGAGCAAATCTTGGCACTGCTGACCTTCTGTCCTCCCTATGGCTGTGGTGGAAGGATCAAGGTGGGCTGAACTATCACAAGAGCACTTTTACCGTATGACAACGCAGGAAGGGGTCATTTGAGTCGATATGTTTACTTATGTCTTGTCCCATCAGGCCAGTAATTAGAACTGTACACTTTATCTGTCCTTGCTACATGCAAGTTCCAGTTAAAACTTGTTCTTGAGATACAGCTTGTTGAACCATTATTTTTACCTCTCACTGTTACAGTTTTACTAAGTCGCTAATCATTAAGAAAATTGAAAAGACTTATTAGCTAAATGGTTGTTGCATTTTAGTTAACGTGCAAAATATGTTCTCATACCATGCCTGGCTAATAATGCAATATAATTAATAATCCCTGAGAAAGCATCTTGTCAGCAAGAGCTTTGACAGTGTTTTCCTAATGTGCTGAGATGACAGCCATTAAGACTTTCCTGTTGTGCCAACGATATCTGGTCTCCCACTGTCTGGGCTTAATTTTAAAATTAGTTTGACTTCCCTAATTCAATAAACTCAGGACATTTGGCCCCATTAACACTCTCCACACTAATTTATCACAGATTTTTCTGCCTCACTTCAACTTGTTTTTCATCGCTGAAAAGCACTACCCTCCACCTCCAGAGTCAAACAGCTGACAATGATGAAGTTAACCCAAGTACTATGTACGCAGGTACCAAGTCTTTGAGGTAAGATGAATTTTCCGAGGTGTTCACTGTCCTTATCTTTCACTGAAATCTATGGGAGCTGAGGAATTTCATGGCAGAACACCAGCAGAATGTGTAAGCATGAGATTTAATTTAAGGTAGTTGAGTGTGTTCAAATGTTTCACTAAATTCTCAAGCAATACTGACAAATTTTACCCAGAGGCACAGCCTAAGTAGCTGTGCTGAAAAGGAAGGATCTCCTCCCCAGCAAAGGGGCAATAAATCCTGGCTGTGGATCATCAGTCCTTAAATTTTACAGGCTGTAGATACAACTGTAGACCTGAGACTTGGGTAGTGTCTTGCGGTTTTGCCTCCTTGTATTCAGTTCAGGAGTGGGAAGCGGCTCTGTGACTGTGGAAAGCACCAGGGCCCCCCAGGTCGTGAGTGGGATATCACTGCAGGAGCACTGCTGCAGATCCAGGAGGAGGGAACAGCTGGAGTTACTTTGTGCTTCCCTTCTTCCCAGTGGGGAAGTTACAGTAGTTCCCACTAGCTCAGTGTCCCTGCACTGTCACTGCTTGTCTTTGATCCCCAGTCCCAGGGTAATTCCCTGGGTAATTTGGACACAGGCACAGCAGAGGGAGCTGACAGTGAACGGCAGGAATAAAGCAGTGCCCGGAGCAGGGTGGGTGCCTGTGGCAAGGTCACTGCAGAGGCTCCGTGACCTGGCTCCTGCCCCACAGAGACACTGGAGGAGCTCAGAGGGCCTGCTGAGCACAGCACTGTCCTGTGGAGGGGGGAGTCACCGACTCTCAGCCTCTCATGTCCTCCTGCTCGATGTTGCACTCAGAAGCCGCTGTGAACCCTCAACTCAACAGTCAGGACACGGTGAGATCCCAGCAAAGTCAGCCCAGCAGCTGAAGCAGACGCTGGCTCAGGTTGGAACAGGGCTGTTTACACTGCTTTGCTCGTGACCTGTTATTTCTAACTGTGTGACCTGAACCCATGGCTCATGTGGGTGTAAACACCACCTCCTGCCTTCCAGCAGGCTGGCTGGAAACAAGGTGGGATGTTTCTGGAAAGAAGGTGGGATTAGCCCAGCTCTGGCTGAAATGCATATTCTCTAGGCTGGGATTTAAGGACGTGTGTCAGACATTTCTCCAGAACATAACTGAGAACAGACATAACTCACTCAGTTTAAAACATTCTAAAAGTTTTCTAATCCCTCTTCACTTCTTATATATAAAGACACAGTTAGGAGAAACAAAGCTTCACAGCATCCTGAGCCTACTAGAAAGAAAAGGGGTGTGTGTGATCCAGCTGGGCAAAACTGGAAAGGAAATACCTTTAAATGTGAAAGGCCACAGTATTTTATTTTCAAATCTGCTTTCAATCAAATTGCTGTTGTTGCGTAGAAAAGGGGGATAATCACATTAGTATTATCAAGAAACACACATTAGAAAATAAACGTTGATCCAGACAAAGGAAAGATGCCTGCAGGCAATGAATGATGGATGGATTTCCAATGTTTTTTATTGAATCTCGGATAATGGCCATCTTGGAATATTTGTTTTGTGTCTGAAAAATAAGTATCATCTACAGCTGTACTTTAGTAAAAGGACGATTTATTCCAGAAGATCTCTCAACTACTACAAAATGAATCTGTTAATTGTGGAAAATCAGCCAAATTTATCAACTGATACTTGAGAAAAAAAATTATCAGTAGTGCTGAGCCGCAGCCTGCTGCAGTTTGGGTCAGAGCAGTTGGTTGGTCTCTCACGATGTATTTTATCAGAAGAAAAAATGCCCTAGAGCACATGCAATTTGTCACACACTTGCAGGTAAACAAACACTCACTGTACATGTGAAAACACTTAACAGGATGCCCCAGACTCTCCTTATCAACTGAGACAGCAGTAAAATGGGCAGGATAAAGGATATCATCTCCAGAGCAGGCTGAGTGAAGCAGCATCCACGGAGAGCTGTGGTAACACAGAGAGCCACTGTGGGGGCATCATAAAGTGGCCCCATGTAAATGAGAGCCAAACCTTTCTTCTTAGGTACACACTGTACAATGTGGAGTGGGATCTGTATAACCAAGGGTGGGACCACAGGCAAACAGGTCGTGCAGATTAACACAGATTAAATAAAATATCCCATGGTGAACCATTTAAAAATGTGATGTTAAAAGTGACTTGTCTAGCTGCCCCATTGGAACACAGATGACAAATTCAGGATTTTGAGGCAGAAAACGTAGGACAGCACACAGCAGCCTGTGGCGGTGATAGCAGAGGCCAGTGCTGACAGTGCTGCCACGGAATTTCTGCATTTTCCTGTTTTTGTGGTGTTTGTCGGTGACCTGCATGGGACTCCACAGGGCTGGGGCCCATCTGCCAGCTGCTCCACAGGACACTCTGCAGGTGAGTTTGGTCAAATAGCTCAAAGTATTGTGGAATCTGACTTGGAGAGTTTTAGTAAAACCAGCCATTTGGCTTCATTTTTCTGAGGATTCCAAGGCCACAGACACCCCCTGAGGCAGTGCAGGGCTGGGTGTGGGACCCAAGGGCTATGCCAGTGGCATTGTTGCTGAGGAGGGGGCACAAAGCACTACAATAGTTTAGATTAAAAGCACTTTTCAAGATCACCTATTCTAAACTCCTGCTTTCACTAGGTCACATTGCTCTAAACCCCATCTACACTGGCTTTGAACACTTCCAATGATGGGGTGTTCAAAGTTTTTCTGGGGACAGTTTTCCTAAACCTACCCTCTTTCAGTTTAAAACCATTGCCCCTTGTCCTGTCACTACAGGCCCTGGTAAAAAGTCTCTCTCTCTCTCTCTTTCTTATAACTCTCCTTTATATACTAGAACACTGCAACAAGGTCTCCCTGGAGCGTTTTCTTCTCCAGGCTGAGCAACTGCAACTCTCAGCCTTTCTTAGCAGAAGAATATAACCTTCATGGCACTCCCTGGGATCTGCTCCAACAGATCCATGCCTTTCCTATGTTCGGGACCCCACAGCTGGACACAGTAGTGCAGTACTAACAATTCCAGTATTAATGGAATATCACGTCTATTAACAAGCACAAGCCCTTGCTATGGATCTTGCCTGTCTCAGGCCCCTTGGGCTTGCAAAACGCTTATTTCTGATTACTCTGAGAGGGGACATAAGAACCAGGCCGACAACTGAGCGTCGTGTGGGCAGTTAATCAGGCCTCACGAGGGTTTGGAGACACACATTTCCCGTGTAATTCATGTAACACCCCGCGGTGCACACGGTCAGCCCCTCGGGGGCTGCGGCTGCCTCAGCAGCCCAAGATTTCTGATTATTCTGAGAGGGGACACACGAGGCGGACAACAGGGCGCTGTGTGGGCAGTTAATCAGGCCTCACGAGGTTTTGGGGACACACATTTCCCCTGTAATGCGTGTAAAAAACACTCCGCGGACTAGACGGTCATCCCCTCATGGGCGGGGTCGGCCTCAGCCGCCCAAGATGGCGGCGGGGCGTGGGTAAGGGGAGGAG